AATTAAATGAAGAATTATTTTTAATATTAATTGTTTCAAGAATCATCCTTGATAGGGTTCCGTGTTCTTTTACGACGAGTAATGGTCTAAGAAACCTGTTTTAAAAGGAGAATTTTTTTTATGAGGGTAACATGGGGTAACAGCACTAGCAGTTGGCAACGGTGAATTCTTACGGACCTCGATATCCTGACAGATTTCAACTCTGCGCTACCCAACCCACTAGTTACATATGCCATGGTATGTATAAGTTAATCTTTTAATGAATGAATTTAAATGACTTTAAATAAGTATTTTATAATAATCTACGTTGAATAAAATCATTCATTTCATTTCATTTCAATCATTCAAGCAATGCTATATGCTAGCTGGCGCTTTCTTGGAAAGAATTATGTCCGGCAGTAGAATTAAAAAGGTTGTAGATTATGGCAATAAATAAGGAATGAGTATTAAAAATTTAATCACTATGGGCTTTACTCTTAGCAGTTTCAATTTAGATAAATTTAGATATTTATTGATACTTCATGTATTCTAATACAGCAACTGCAACTCAACTCGTATTAACTTAACATCTTTTTTTTCATATTTGTTGTAAATAAATTACTTAAGGATAAATCTTCCCAACGGGAATGGCCCATGTCTAGTCGTAGACTTTTGTGGACTGACGAAGATAGGTTTTAAGAGCTGATTCATCATTTGCTCTGTAGTGAAGGAAAACTTTGTTAGAAAACTGGATTAATAAAAATTTGGGAACATAATGTGGAGTTTACATTTTGTTATAGAAAAACGGTGACAAACGAGCACACAGTCCACCTGATGGTAACTGGATGCTGTGGCCCATAGACATCTACATTTATCCTCGATTAAGCATCAAAACGTAGATGCGTTGTCACCCCTGAGGACTACGATGGAATGCGTCGTTTCCAGTAAAAAAAGTGTCTCCGGATCACAGGAGTATTAAGCTGCTATTTTACGCTAGTATCCTGTGAGAGCGTGGTCCTTCGTTGAACCGACCCATTCGTGCAATGACCGTAATATAGCTGCGGCGTGGCTCTACCACCTATAAAAACACATACACGTGCTGAAACATTTGTCCTATAGCCTTCCCAGAAATGAGAAAATACTTGTGCGTAACAGAGGGACCTATAAATGCAGTGACTATACCTTTTTATTTTACATAAGAATATGTTGTTATTAACAAGAGAACGTCCTCCGCGCTTACACAAACAATTAAATAAATTAGACAAAGTTAAGGTTGATTAAAACTACTTTTACGGGTTTTATCGCGTGTAATTTGAATTATTTTTAATCCCCGACGTTTCGGGTGCTTTCCAGCATCCATGGTCACGGGGAAGAGTCCCTTGTAGTAGTTTTAATAAATGTGTAGTGTTCGCGTAAATATAAGAAATCATTAAAGATAAGGTTACTAACTTGTGTATATGATATACATTGCACGTTGTGGTATAGAGTTATTACCACATACGTACAAGGTATATTATTTAATAAGTAGTGATGTCTTCATTATTATGTCTGGACATCCGTAGTCGCTAGTTTAATGCTATTAAAATCCCAGAAATTGTAAAACAATTTACAGCTCAAAGTTCAAAAATTTTATTAAACTGAGTTTGTATAAAAATGGCTATTATTGTAATAATATTATAATCAAAGAATTTATGGATGACATTTACCCCTGGGATCTCTATCAAGCTATTTCAAATTTATCTTGTAGTTGATTAATTGTGTATCTAACATGATTGCAAGCTATTTTTAATAGTCCCGCTGGATTTCATGCTGGTTCTTCCCAGGACAGAGGTTTATTTTCCGAACCAGTGGTAATTAAACAAAAAATTCTGTTTCTGCTCTGTTTCTATTATATATCGCAAATTGTACTAACTTATACAAGAAAACAATTAATTTTTTTCTTGTCTATTCGATTTTTGATATCAATTCAAATAGACTAATTAATACAACACATATCGGATTATACCTAGTGGTACCTTACTATATGTTTGTTGTCTAAATCAAAATATGCCTATTAGCCTACACAAATAGATTTACGCCAGCTCAACTTAGAAATTTCATGGTGCGTAGGCTTCTTTTTCCACTCATAATTTATTTAACCGTTATGTATAGCATATAGATAGGGTTTTCGCTCTCATGATTGATATAAGGGACCGTAATTAGTGATAGATATATGAGGTGTTATCAAAAAGTAAGGTTCTTTTTATTTTTATCAAAAAATATTTATCTATTCATCAATATTTATTTTGTCTCCTTCAAAGTAACCCCCTCAGATGCAATACACTTATGCCAACGCTTTTTCCAATCCTTAAAGCGTATTTTGAAAAGTTAGCTCACTCAGTATCTTGCTTTAAAATTGACTTGTATAATAATATGGTAAAATATAATGTGTAAAAGAATATGATATTATTAAAACTCGTGTCACGTCTTATATAAATGGGTTCAAAACCAACCATTTTTGCTTTACGAGTTACGTATCATACCGTGATGAGATACATCGCTTTCATGGAGTCAATTTTTATGACGAAAAAAAAATCTGCAAAAGTTACCATATTTCTCCCCTTTAAGCATACTGTTGTGGAGTTTTAAAGATTTACAGTTTAATTTTTATTGGAGTTTACTCCAGTTTTTTTTTTTCATATATAGCACACGGTATGAAAAATAGATGTGTAGTAAAGTCAAGCGCTAACAAAAAGTGAAGCCGTTATGGTTTCTTTTATAGCAGAGGGGGCAAACGAGCATACGAGCCGTATGCTCATATTTTAGTATGCGGCAGTAATCACTTACCTGATGGTAAGTGAACGCCGCCCATGAACAACTGCAACACCAGAGGAATTGCAGATGCGTTGCCAGCCTTTTAAAAGAAGGACAGACAGAAAGAAGACGAATTATTTTCTCGATTCTGCCGATGTGCTCCGACTTTGCTTTGACAATGAAACTTTTGCGGAACCTGGAAGCAAAATTATGCTTCTTTTTAATAGCGCTGGTATTTGCATCCCGAGACGTCGATGCGCGAGCACAGGCCTGGTAGCACTCTTGCTTATGACGCAATGCAATTTTTGAGGAGCGACCAAACCAAAGCCGGGTTCTACTTCCGATAGGTACCACAGATGATGGAATAGAAAGTTCCATTCCCTGTAGCACCACATCAGCGACAGAATCAGCAACAAAGCAGGTATCATACGGCGAGAAGCAAACCCGCCTCCAAGGGTAGGATGCAAAAAAAGACCGCAGCCCGTCCCAATCAGCTGACCTACAATGGCAAACACGGCAGCAACCTGCAGAACGCAACCGCGATGGGAGCGTGAGGATCAGGCAATGGCCTGAAGAGCCAAGAGGGGCATCAACGGAGACCTGATATCCGTCCGGATAAGAGATCAGCAGAAGGTCCAACAGGGAAGGTATCTTCCACGTCTGGGATCCGCGTAGGCAAGATAACCAGTTGTATCAGACCATATGCCAAGGTAAAGTCATAAACAGATCTACTCGCATGATCAGTTAAACGAGATAACTAAGCCATTCAGCGTGGTGGGCGTTAAAATCACCAAGTATCACAAACTTTGCGGATGGAACCTGTTTTAGCACGAAGTCTGCAGCTATTTGGACGTAGTCAATCAGTCGATCTGTGTCGGCATTACCGCTATGGGACCTATGGAAGCACCCGTAGACGCGAGATGGTCAGGGGGGAATGGGGCCTCCATCTACCTGCACTCATCAGACGAAATGCGGAAGCAAAGCTTCTACTTCACATTGGTCTTCTATGAGGTCATGATACCACCCCGGTTTGAGCCGGCCCATACGTTCAACAGCAAAGGGTGCCGCGTGGCTCTACCGCTGTTGATATATTGTATCAAATCCATATAATTAATATGTGGTTTCATTTACTTCCTTTGCCTATTGTATATATTTTAAGACAATCGTTTTTCAGGAGCAAAATCAAGTCACACGTCGGAGCTGACACGTAATTTCTTTTAAAATGAATCGGTTTGCTAGTAATAGGGAATAAAATAAAAGAATTTTACTATAATAATACACAATAACATTTATATTTTTAATAATTGAACAATAATTTAACTATAATAATAACATTCAAACAATAAACAAAATTATTGACCAATGGAAAATATATTTTCTGGTTCTGAAGACCGAAGATATCTTCCTAAATTAGTGCTCCAAATGCATATGCAGACATCTTACCCATACCCGCTTGTGTAACTCATACCCATGCCAAAAGTAAATCAGCCAATGCTTAATCAATTTAAATGAATAAAATATTATTTATTATAAATAAATTATTAAGATACAACTAAGCGACATAGTGGTAGTGTAATAACTAAATTAATGCGTACTGTATAGTTGAACAATTTTTATACTCTCACCTCAAAGACCACAGAGGTTAAAATTTTCAATATAGTATCTTATTTAAAAAGCAAGAAAAAACACTTTTAATTATTAAATTAAAAACTGAAATACACACTGAAACTTGTACACTTAGAAAACGATATAACACTGTAGCTGTTTTTTTAGTTGTTATGACAAAAGATACAACAAATATTCTCTATTCTGGTCGAAGCGAACTAATCTGGTTTTTTTATGGGATAAGAGTAACAAACGAGCTTATAGTCTACGTGATGGTAAATGGTTGCTGTGGCCCAGAGACATCTACATCTATCCTCCATTACGAATCCAAATTCAGATGCGTTGTCACCCGTGAGGATTAAGATGGAATGCCCCGTTTCCAGTAAAAAGGTTCTCCCGATCTCTACACTCACCATACGAAACACAGCAGCGTTAGGATGCTATTTTTCAGTGGTATCCTGTGAGAGAGTGGTCCTTTCCCGGTTGAGTTGACCCATTCATACTACGACTAACTACTAATATAGCTGCAGCATGGCTCTACCACGCAAAATTCAGTACAAATTTACTTAAACACACATATTTAAATATTTTTTATTTTAATTTAGAACATCATTAAAGAACTGTCATAATTGTGTATCGCCAGAATTGTTACTTGCTTGAGAGTTTGCTGTCGCGGTAATATCTGTAAACAAGTCATTTTAATTTAAAAAATGATCGCATTATACTTTACATAAAGTTAAAAAAAAAACCTAGTTAGGCATCATAAAACTGACTTAAGAGTCCTACCTGTGTGTTTATAATTTTTAAATATAGAATGAAACGTGAATTCAATAGAACTTACTTGAAAGCAATGACAACAATTGGTCATAATTACAGTACAAAGGATCATTCATGACGCTATTCAGTTGTTCTTTAATTCTGGGATTAACGTCGCACCAAATTACACAGCCATCGCGTGACCATTCTGACACAAACATCTTCATACTCTGTGGATTGTATCAAATCGACAACATCATTTATTTATATTAAGCAAGCTGTATCTTACTTTCAACTGCACATTAACATATAAACATAGATATCTAATATACAAAATACATCACTTTTTTGCCTTGACATACACTCCACACACTACTTAAAAAGGAACATTTAAAATCCCACAAAGTTCACAGCATATTCCGTTAATGTGTCAGTAATTATTTATTTAATACATTAAAAAAATAGTTTGGCTACAGTCTATGCTTTGACATTGATCTACCTCTTAAACATTCGCTATGAACCTAGTGATTATATTCTCTTTGGTATGCAGGTCTACAAACTACATAAGTATTCCAAACAATAAGTATATGTTTGACATTAGAAGGATGAACGTAAATGTGTATGTTTTACTTTATTTTACATACATACATACATAAACACTCACGCCTGTCACCCAGAGGGGTAGGCAGAGACTACGGACTTCCATTTGGCACGATCCTGACATAACTCTTTCGCCTCCTTTACATCCATATATCTACGCATACATGCTCGTCGGTTAAGGGCCCTAAACTTCTAACGTGGCCCATTTTCAAAATATCGCCAATTTGGTCGATAAACTTTTTCTAGAACTCTTACTTTATTCTTACTTTATTTTATTTAATATATTTGTAACAGATACCTATTATATGTGTATACACTAGCTGAACCCCGCAGACGTTCTGCCATGTTTTTTTTTTATTTTAGAGCTAGCAATTTAATTTATTAATTGCCGCTGTTGAAGGGAAAAAAGTAAATGAAATCAAAAAAATGAAATTTTGTTAAATTTTTTTTAAGTTTTTAAATATAACCCTTCTGCATTGAAAAATACATATACGGGAGGTCCCAGAACGTAACGATCAAACAAAAAGGAATTATCGATCATGGAAGGACTGTTCAAAAAAAAATTAAGTCCTGTAACCTAGTTGCGTGGTTTAAAATATAAAGGCTGATTTATAAAATTTTCAGAAAATTACCCTTTGCGTCAAAAGTTTTAATGCTGCAGCTGCAAATGAGAACCGATTTTTTATTGGTTTTGTATAGCCTAACAATATGTCTACTATACGTAAATTTCAGACATACCTTTCAGTATCTATTACATTTTGGTAGAAATAAATACATAAAATTTTTAAAGTGCAAAAATGTAACATTAAGCTTTTATCGAGCAAGATGGACACTGCACCCTGTAAAAAAATGTAAATACATGGACCTGGTTAATTGGATTTCGAAATAGTTTAATACTTGTTACATTAATATCAATTTCTTGTGCTATATTTTTTTTCTCGCAGAGGGTAGATTTTGTGCAAATTACTCTTTTTTATTTTTTTTTATTTTACAACAACTAAAATTCATACTAAACAAAGTTCATAAATACAGTGCAACATAAACCTATATAAGATTTTTCTGCACACTGCAGTTCGCCGTCTTTCGAGCGCAAACATTTTAATATTATTTAGAGTAAGAAGGTAGTTCGCTCATTTCTATACAAATAACATGAGGATGAGTTGTAGTGGCTATTTAGTTAGAGTACAGGTGTTTGGAGAAAATATTATTTTATGTTTTTGGAATATGCATATAGTAATTATATTACATATAGTAAGTATGTTAGTTTTTAGTTATATCATGTTAGTTGATTCATTATTTAATATTTTTGGGATTGATATTTTCCTTCAAGGTTTTAGGTAGTTTATTAATTAATTTAGGAATAATAATCTTATTTTAATGATCGCCATACATATTATGAGTTTTAGCTATAATTAATTTAGGGTTATATATACTTCTAAGCTGATGTTTGTACGTAGGTATGACTTGTAATTTTGTATTAAAGAACTGTTCTACAAGTAAAGTAAGTTTTAATTTTTTTCTATTGGCAAGATACCACAGTATTTAAATAATTTGTTGTAATTGTCCTTATATTGTTGTTTGATTTTAGGGGGGACAATTGTTTGATAATTCTAAGTTGTAATTCATGGATTCTACAAAGATGCGATTTCCAGGTTCTACCATAGCTTCTTAATCCGTATTGTAGCATTGATTCGGCCAGAGCCTTATAATGGGACAATAGTGTAGGAAAGGGAACTTTATACCTAACGATAGAAAATTTGGCAAGTATGGCCCTTAACTTATCGCACACTTTATTAATATGGTGCGTCACTTTAAATCGACTGTCTATTATGAGTCCAAGGTAAGGTTGTTGTTCTACTAATTCAATATGAGTACAATTACAAGTCTGGTTAGACATGTTATTATGGCGACATTGGTGTCTGTGTGCAACGAGTTTTAAAGGAACAGATACTCTATTATGACTGGATGAAATGTACATCATTTTTGTTTTTGTGGCATTCAGAACAAGCCTCGCATCGTGAGACCATTTCATAAGGTTAGTGAAATCTTCTTGCAATTTCTGTAATGTCACATATATGTCGTTTTCCACCGCTAGTATGCAGATATCGTCTGCAAACTGATATATCTTGCAGTTTTTAATTACATTATTAACATAGGTCAAGTAATGCAAAGGCCCAAGCACAGATCCCTGTGCAGTACCATGAGTGACTGTTTTCTTTGTACTTGTAGCATTTCCTACTTTAACTTTATATGCTCTCTCTTTAACATAGTCTTTGCACCAATTTAAAAGGGGTCCTCGCAGTCCACATTCATCAAGCCTTTCAATCAGTAAGTCATGTCTAAGGGTGTCGAACGCTTTACTATAGTCAATGAAAACAACTAGAACATGTTTTTTATTATCAAGATATTGGTTTACGTCGTCAGTAAAAGAAGATAAAAGTTGAGTGGTACTTTTATGCTGCTGAAAACCATACTGACTTTTATTTAAAATTGAGTGTTGACTATAGAAATTATTTATTTGTTTACTTATATATTTTTTAATTATTTTGTCTAGTGTAGGTAATATTGTTATTGGGAGATAATTGTCGTAACCCGTTTTCCTACCTTTTTTATGTACGGGTCTTAAAATTTCAGTTTTTAATTCAATAGGGTACTTGCCTTTTTTATACACGCATTTATTAGGTCGTAGGTAGTTACCGATATTTTGTCCGCAATGGATATTAAGTCTACTGCTCGTATGTTGTCTATACCTGGTGCTTTGTTCGTTTGAATGTTTTTATTATTTTAGCTACTGAGCTTGGAGTAGCCTTTTGATATCGAAATGTTACGTTTACAGGCAATCTGTACTAGTTTATTTGTAAAAGGGGTCGATTGCAGGAAGGTACGATGCTTGAAATATTTTTCTGAAAGGCCTGAGCGAAATTATTAGCGATTTCAAGTGGCGTCACTTTTTCATTTTGAAATGAATTTAAAATTATATTATCGATGGAAGGACTTGTCCGTCCCGTGATCTTATTTAGTATTTGCCAAAGTCTCATCTGGCTATTTTTATTATTATGTATATCCGTTTTGATGTACCAATTTTTGTTTTTTGTATCAGCTTATTAGTCGAATTTCGTATTTTATTATATATTTGTTTAGTAATCATATTGTCTATATTTTTTAACCACAAAGAATACCAATAGTCTCTATTCTCACATGCCCTTTTAGTCCTTTCATTAACCCATTTATTTTCTGTCCTCGTTAATGTTCTATTTTTTTTCCGAATTGTTGTTAAGGCATCATTGTAGCATCTATTGAAATTATCTTTAATGAATTTGTATATTTTAATGGGGCAACTAATACCTTTAGTTGATTCCCAATCTATTTTATTTAATAAGGTAAAAACTTTTTTTGTGGTCAATATATGTTTTAAATTTAGGAGCCGCCTCTATATAGTGCTGAGATCCAACACAAGCGAGTGTCGTCGCACAGTGGTCCGCTAGTAACGATTTACTAATTATGTTATTTCTTTATTTAATTCTAGTATATTCCGAGATCCCACTCACAAGTCCGTACGTCGAGAACATTGTTGTGTATTTATGTTTTATAGGTGTTTCCACAGCGACGTCGATGTTTAAATCGCCTATTATAAAAAAGTCTTCGCGTTTATTAATTTTGTCGCATGATTGCTGCAATTCGTTTATAAATAGGTGTTTGCTTAAGTTAGGCGGACGGTATATAGCGAGTAGATTGCAGGTGTAATAACTTAATTAGATATTAAAACTTAATAACTTGTAATTAGGTATTATAACTTAACAACTCAATTAGATTTTTTTAAATGATTCTTCCGTTCGTTTAATGTAAAGAAAAATAATTCGTTTTCAATCACGTTTTCACGCTGATTCGGCCATTTCAGACTTAATATCCATAGAAAAGTTAAAAGTAGTTCATTTTTTATCCAATTTTGGGTATTAAACAAAACACATTAAAATTATGATACAATACGATTCTATGAGTCATCTTTAGTTTGAGGTTCTCAGCTTTAGTTGCTATGACGCATAGAATTAATTCTTGCACTTGCACTTACATGTAAGTGAAAGCGATACAGAAGATAGGGAAGTAACTAGAACTATGGTATTTTGGGGGATGAAACTGCTCGCGTCAGTAAGAATTACTTGAATCCTGACTCCCTACACGTATCCTCTGGGTAGTGCTAAACGAGCAGCACTACATACGGTAATTTTATACTATCGCGGTCACCTCGTTTTTTGGGTCTAAAAAATCGAAAAGTCATCTGATTTCGATGATTTTTTTTTTGTAATCATCGTCTTTACTAATATGGAAAATATCTCACCTCAAGATTTCATATAGTTTTATGACGTTAAATGTGATCATAAATGGACTTCTTTGAATATAATCGTTCATAACTTTTTTGAAAAGTGCTAAACGAAGTTTGTATATTTTTATTGTTAATCTACACAAAAAAACATCATTCTCATCATTATTTATCATCATCGCTCGATCCTACACTCAATAAAAACCAAAATAAAAAATGAATCAACAAACCTTTTTAATTTTTTATTTAAAATGTGTGTTCTTTTTATTTAAAAATAAGTTATCAACAATTATACGCGAATGAGTGCATTTTCATGAACATTTAACGCCTTGAAACCAATATAAATTTTCATTTTTTTTCTTGTATTTTTTTCATAAATTCGCCGTAGTAATGAAGATTAAAAAAACTCATCGAAATCGGATGATTTTTCGATTTTCTAGACCCAAAAAACGAGGTGACCGCGATAGTATAAAATTACCCTACATACTGGTGGTCGGTTGGTCCTCTACTAGTGAGAGGCCTGACCGAGGGTTAGTTACTACCCACCTGACAAAGAAATACCGCCAAATAATGCAAGTCGTTTTCCGGTATGATTTTAAGTGTAACCCATTTCATAGAGAGAATGGGTCTGGACAGTTGCGTTGCGCATAAGAACCGGTGGTGACGCGGCTGTTTATTGGTGTCAGATGCCTGGTTATGGAGGTTAGCGGGATCCGAAGCACGGTTTTACCGCTGACTGATCGTCGATAGTTGGGAGCCTAATTAATGAGCCAGCCACACATGAAAGGCTGCCCCGCCATCTTACGAAAAATCCTGAGATGGCTTCTCCATATCGGTTGGCGACCGGAGGAGAGGGCCTGGTAGCAATTTCCAGGGCAGTTCGGGCGTCCCCGCGATCTCCTTGCTAAGTACCATCGATGCTGTGACTCTGTTTGCGTCCTTAGGTTACATGTGACGCCTCGTCCAACTCCCATTCTCTCAACCTATTCACTCCAGCTGATGAAAAAACCAAAAAAGAAGAGTAAGTCTGTACAGCGGCTGCACTTCCTGTCCAGCGGTGCACCTCACAAACATCCGAGGCCTGCAATGTAATCTCAATGCAGTCCATTACCACCTTGAGACTGACAAGCCGCACTTACTCTTCTTGACTGAGACGCAGATCAGATGTACTCTAGATGCGGCGTAGCTTGGCTACCCAGGGTACATATTGGAGCATGATTTCCATCAGTGGGCTGGAGCCTGTGCTTACATCAGCAACAACATCTGCTGTAAGCGTCTCCGTCACCTTGAAAATCCCACTTTCTCTACGATCTGGGTATTCATAGACACAGTAATTGATAAAAATATTTATTCCTGCATCCATCGATCGTACAGCAGTGATCAGGAGATAACCAGGCTATTTGAACACCTTAGTGAAGCCTCTGATGTGGTTTTAAATCCTACTACTTAGTACCCTAATGCAAAGTTGGTTTTTTTGGAGGACTTTAATGCCTGTCATCAGGACTGGTTGTACCCATACCAGAAGACCAACCACGCTGGGATAGAGGCGTGGAACCTTGCCTTATTGCCTTATCGCTTGGACTCTCACACCTGGTACAACAAGCAATTAGGGTACCTGATGTGGATGGGCACATAGCCAATTGCCTCGACCTTCTGCTTACGACCGATGCAGACAAAAACAATGTTCAGGGATCCTCACCCTTACGAACTTCTGACCACTGTCTGGTGAAATGTGTGTCGTTATATTCCCCACCCAACTACGATTTCCACGGTGTGCGGCAAGTGTGGCGATACAAGACAGTATATTGGGATGAGATGCGGCATTTCTTTGCATCTTATCCTTGGCGACAGGTCTGCTTCTCGCCTGAAGATCCGTCGAGCTGCGCGGATACCATAACCGATATTATACGAGAAGCGATGGAATATTTCATCCCCTTTGCTGAAGTGCCCATTGGCGGCAAAGCTCGCCCATGGTTCAACGTCGAGTGCACTCGTGCTGAAGCACAAGCATATGGCGTGCTTATCCGGGGTCGATGCTCGAGGCTGCAAAGCTCCGGATATTATCCCTAAGAAGAGAGCCTTTAATCAAGCCACCTAGTCTTGCAAAAAAGCGTTACGGCAAGCCAGTTACGACCGCATTAAACGCATCGGTTCAAAGCTCTCTGTTAAACCAACCGGCAGTAGTGCTTTTTAGTCTTTTGCCAAAGCGGTCAAGACAAACTTCTGTCGGTCTACAAGGCCTCCGCTGGTAAAGCCAGGTGGCACACTGGTGCATGCTCCTAATGAGAAAGTGGATTTATTTGCCTCTCGTTTTGCTCTGAATTCGCATCTGGACAGTAGCAGCGTCCCAGCCTAAATACCTCACTGCCGTACCTCTATGTCAGAGGTCCGTGTCACCAATAAGGAGATTCTTAAAACCTTAAGAAGTCTAGACGTGAACAAAGCTAGTGGACCTGATGGTATACCGGCTATAATTCTAAAAGTTTGTACCTGAGTTGTCTCCTGTGTTGACGCGCTTGTTCGCCTTGAGTAGTGCCCAAATCTTGGAAGCTGGCCAATGTGCAGCCTGTGTCTAAAAAAGATAGCCGTATCGACCCTGCCAACTTTCAAACAATTTCAATTACCCCCATACTCTACAAGATTATGGAGCGTATATTGAAAGCCCGCTTAATGGCATACCTAGAACAAAATGACCTCCTTAGTGACCGGCAATACGGGTTTTGCCGAAATCGGTTAGCTGGGGACCTTCTTGCATATGCAACACACGTATAGGGTAAGGCACTCGAGAACAGTGGGGAAGCACTTGCTGTTTCCCTTGATGTCTCGAAGGCCTTTGATAGAGTTTGGCACGCTAGCCTTTTAAGTAAGCTTCCTGCGTACGGCTAATCCTCTGGTCTGATTGAATGAATAAAGGATTTCCTGAGTGAACGGTTCGACCCTATGGCGACTGACGCCGGTGTTCCACAAGGGTCCGTTCTCTTATGCTCTCTTACGATCTGCTTATGCCCGGTATCTATGGGTATGCACAGTTGTGGTGAGATACCAACCAAGTGTTTGAGCCAGTCGGGATCAAATCTAGTCCGAAAGAAAGGCTATGATTGAGCGTATGAATCTCACACTGCAGGCAGTCTCCAAATGGCACGATGCCAATCTTGTGAGATTCAACGCCTCCAAAACGGAAGCGTGTCTTTTCACCTCTAAGAGGAGCCCGCTCACCCTGGCTTCTACTTTCCGGAATGTATTCTTGGAGTACACGGACTGCCTTCAGTTGTTAGAAGTTGAATTTTCTCCGAACCTCAACTATGGGCGGTTCATTGAGTCCAGAGCCAAAGCAGCCGCAAGGAATCTTGGTGTTGTTGCAAGGGTGCGGCGGTACTTCAGGCTGGGACAGCTCCTTACCTTATATAAAGCGCAAGTCCGGTCATGCATGGAGTCCTGCTGTAACATAACCGCTGGTGCTGCAAAATGCCACCTGGCAACATGAAACTCAGTGCAGAGACGTGCTAATACTCATTGGTGACCTTGATTTGGTTGAAACCAACCTTGTCAGCCTCGAGCACAAGCGCAGAGTAGCCAGTCTCTCTGTATTTTATGGGATGCATTTCCGAGAGTGTGCGTAGGAATTGCACGCTTTAATTCCTCCCTCTCTTTTCCACCATCGGATGATCAGACGGTGGGCGGGTCTTCAACCCTTTGTTGTCGATATTTCACGCATTAGAACCAAATGGTTTACTACTACATTTTAATGCGTACAGCAAAGGAGTGGAATAATTTGTCGGCGTTTATCTTTTCGTCCGAATACAATCTGGGCGTCTTCAAGGCAAAAGTGAATAGGCATTTGTTACGCTAAGACAGTGCGATTTACCATCTAAGGCTGCATCACCACTTACCAACAGGTGGGATTGTGGTCAACCACTGGCTTATAAAAAGTAAAAAAAAAGTATGGCAAATATCCCCTCTATGAAGAATCTATGGGTAGGCTCTATTTTCAGCAGTGGACTTTAATAGGCTGTAACGGTAATTAATTGTCAACCATATAGCTCCAACGAACTGATGACTAATGCGGTAGAAAGCTTCTTTAGTGGCAGCTTCATAAAGGTAACCGATCTATAGGGCAGCCCCCACTAGATTAAGTGACATCCTAGTAAAAGAAACAGTAAGTCGATAGATGGTAGCTTAGGATTGTGGCGTTGATTGGGGGAGGCCCTTGTTCAACAATGGACTTTTGGTGAGTTGTAATGATGACGAGGATGATGATGATGATGAAAGAATTATTAATCTCCCATGTAGTAGCATATTTCACGCTGGTGTACTGTGATAGCGTGGGCCTTCCCCAGTCGAGCCGCCCAATAATATCTTTGACAGTACACCCCCACATACAATCAATCAAACCGATCATATCACATAACTGAGCGCGGATAACTTAGGACAAGTATCTGCATTTATGTATGTTTCACATATAAAGTCATCGCCGTGGTTTAAAATAAAATATCATCATTTTAATAATGTTCACTATTTATAAATTGATATATTTCTTTAAAATACAAAATTTATTTCTGAAACCAAACGCGATAAAGTAACAGTCTCGTTTAAGAAAAAAAGCCTTACAAACTTGAAAAGAAGTACTAGGAGATAGCGATCATTGTTTAATTTCTTTATATCTCTATCTTTCTAGAGTTTAAAGATATAAAAAAAAAAAAAAATATATATACTATGTTATAATAAGTACATATAATGTAATAGCTGTGGTAGTTTAGGGGTAAGAGCTCCATTACCACCAATAAAATTAGTTAAAGTAATTTTTTGTGTTAATTTACCATGTGCTCAGCGGTAAAAAAATCAATGTGGGAATCTTGCATATCTGAAAAATAAAATATTCCGTAAACATATTACTATAAAGTTTGTAAACGTAGACCGGTTGATCTGCAAACCCCTCCAGAATGAAAAGTGGACGTTTCTTAACGTATTTATACAAAAAAAAGGATGAAAAATAGATTAATAAATACCGACCTGTAAGAAGGTATAATCCATTCTACTCAAAGCGTCGCAATGTATCACTAAAACTTTCGATGTCTGTCTATCCATCGTATTTATGTTTCCATTGGGTACATTGATTCTCACATCAATGTCACTAACTAGTGCTCTAGATGTTTCCATAGCGTGAGAGTTAGAGCCAACAAATATATTCTTAGAATTTCTTAGGTCGCTTAATCTTGCCCTCAACTGTTCCGCGCCGGCAAAATGTAAACCGCCGATTAGACGTACGGCATAATGAGGTGTTATTGTTCCATCCTGTGAACAATTTCAACGCGAAAAATTAAATTCATCCTATGTAAAATTGATACTGTACACTTATTAGACACTAATTTGATCCCTTGACTAAAAACTGTTTAGAATGTTGTTAAAATTGTAGTGTCTTTAATATGTTTTGCATGGGATTAGATAAAAGTAATGTAACCTACATTACTGTTAGATATCTTGTTTCGTTTGTAGACTATGTCTCTAAGTCTCTCGATTCGCGCTTGTCTGTGGACACCATCTACACAGACTTCAGTAAGGCGTTTGACATTAGATCTTACTTCACAAACTCTCAGTTTTGGGTATCACAGGCAATCTTCTCGAATGATTCTCTTCATACCTCAAGCACAGAAAATCGAGAGTTGTGGTAAATGTTTACTTCTCAAAACCATTTCTAGCTACGCCTGGCATTCACCGGGGTTCCCATCTCGGTCCGATTTTTTTCAACATTTTTATAAATGACCTTGCGTCTGTTTTTAATCACGCCACCTGCTTTATGTATGCAGATGACATGAAATAGACACCGGTGTATAATATTGATGGTCATCCTTTGGTAGAAGTAGAGTCTGTTTGAGATCTGGGTGTGGTTCTGGACAGAAAGTTACTGTTTCATAAACACATTGATGGAATTGTTACAAGGGGTCTTCAAATATTAGGGTTCGTGTTGCGTAATTCTAAAGATTTTACGAGGACCTCTACAAAAATTTCCTTGTACAACAAGTCTTTAGTCCATTCCGGCCTCGAATACTGTAGACAGGTCTGGTCTCCATTTTATGACATTTACGTGAAACGCATAGAACATATCCAGAAGCATTTCATGTGGCATATTTCGTACCAAACTTACAAAATAAAAGGATCTACCCTCATGCGAAGACAAACTGACGTATTTTAAATTAAGCCAGCACTAGATCTCATTTTGATATACAAAATCGTCAATGGAACCGTAGACAATCCATATCTACTAAGTGCAATAAATTTCAATGTACCATTCAAGCTAGTGCGTATCACCCAATACTTCCCCTTTTCAGTTGAAGGTAGTAAAATTAATTTGGGTCACCCCGCCACCATAAACAGGTTACAGAAGCAATATAACCAGCTCTGCAAGACATGTGACGTCGATATCTTTGCTGATAAGCCTCAAAAATGCAAACGAAAAATTTTGCAGTTCTTTACTGTTAACTAACATTTGGGTATAGTTTTAAGTTTGTAATTGTAACTTTTAAGAAATATATTTGCTTCCACATTGCATGGCGTGGCAAACATTAATGAAGACGAAACTTGGACATAAACTTTCCTGTTATTTCTAGTATTTACATTTTGTTCTTGTATGTCTTGTTGGTTGTCCTAAATAAATTAAAAAATATTAAAAAATTCATTTAAAAACAATTTTTTTAATGTAACTTACGTTAACAAACTCTACTTGGAGAGGTGGTCGGGAATGATAGTAGAGAAGTAATAATATATCGATAGCGACGCCGCAAGCCAATCCAAGTTCAATGCCGAAAGCAAGACAGCAAATAAAAGTTCCCGCAAGAGGTATCAGGTCCAATCCTAGAAGTACAGTAAAATTCATAGATATCTAAGAATGAATATCTGGGAATATATTCCAACCAAGATATATTTTAGGAAAAATGTTTTTCACTTTTAAAGTTAGCCAATTATAAATTTAAGGAAATGAAATTCAACGCATTATTAATAAAACAAATTGGATGCTAAAAGAACTTGATTCTTACAAAAACGGAACGACTAATTTAATGGAATATTTAATGGTTTCGGTCGATTTATTCCAGCCTATTAAATGTCCACTAGTAAACGTTTGGCAGTCAGATTGCCAACCGCAATTTTGTTAAAATATTTTGAATTATTATCATTAAGATGCTGCTGCCCATCTCCTGATTTAATTCTATGAAACTCTTGCGACACCATTGTTATGGATGGTGAATATTCTAATGCTACCGCTACACGGCTAAATTCTGATTTTGATACATGGCAAATTTGATTGTGATATATGGACAAACGCACATTTCTTATTCCTCTTCTTCATCGGCGCGTAACAGATTATGGCTACACATGGGCATTTGACTTTGTAAGTAGTATTTATTATAACTGATACGCTTGGCAGACTTCTTGTCAATCGCAGCATCAGATGTCTTGCACCTTTGACGCTATTTATTTTAGCTGGCTCAATTATTTTTCTGGCTTAAAATAAGCACCACCATCTATCGGATTCCATGTTTATGAATATTTTATTTTTCATTTTAGTTAAATTCCGTTGTATGTAATGTTACGTACTATTTGCAGCAAAAAACATTTCATTTAAATTTTTACTAAATCGTACTGTAAAATAGTACTTTCGCTTGAATTTGCTTTCATTTGAATATTTTCACAAGTTTAACAATTTGAACTTTTAGTAGTTAATTACTATTATTTTACAAAAAATTACATTTATACAAATCAATGATGTAAAACCACCATATATTAAAAAAACCGCCATATATTAAAAAAACCGCCACACATTGATAAAAATAAACATAAAATTTGTTTATTTTCTATGTATTTCGCAACTTTTTAAACATATTTTAAGCCGCCAATACGTAATCACAAAGGGATCAATTGCTAGCGATGATATAGCTCTAATCCTTAATGCTCACCTAGCAAATATCTAGTTACTCATGAAAAAAAAACATGTTATCGCATTCAGAAATATCTGTGCAAGTGCATCGACTATGCGCTCTCCATCCTACGTGGCCAAACGATGATGACCAGTTATTTGAAGTTGTGCGTTTAAAGTATTCTTAAAATACCTCTGTGCAAGTATAGGTTCAGGAAACCTTATAAGGAAGATCCACCTGTAAGGCGTAGTGATTACGGATTTTTTTCTTTCTTTAGGCTTAATTCCAGCAATGAACTGCTAAGGAAGAAGATAGATATAGCAGATATAAACATTTAATATATAACGCGGACATAAAGTAACAAGACATTACGGAAACCAATCATTTCATACTGCTAAATCAGTTTAAAATATGAAATTAAACTGAAGGTAACACAATAATACAAATAAATCGAGTTTAAAAATGTATCTATATAGTGAACTATCCATTTCCTAGTTAATTTAAGCGTGAGTAAGGCACAAGCGGAACCATTTAACGTATTTTTGTAATTTCAATTACTTTTAATCGCGTAATATTGCTCACTCTGCATTAAATCAATTTCATTGATTGATATCGATAATTATGTTTCTACTGTAGCAATGCGTCAAACACCAGTAATCTTGCGTTTTGTTTATCGAAGTCACAATTTATAAACTAATTTTCGTTAAAGTATTTTTTTACATAATTTGAAAAATCATACAGTAAAATATCATATTAATACGCTAGAGAGAATATTTTGTGGATTGGTTATGTAATTTGATACGTAGGAAACTAACTTAAAAAGTCTAAAGTTTTCTTCTATCGGTTTTAGGTTTGTAAATAAGACATAGGATTTTATTCCAAAAATTGACTTTCTAGAGAAAATCTAAGAGTAGATTTTAAATTTATAATGTCGAAACAGTAAAAATTGCATTATCAAAATCCAAAGTGGTAACCCGTAATTAGGTGCTATATTCGTGACTACTTTAGGTGTAAAGTACATTAGTAAAATGATTGCTAGGTCTGGATAGAATAAATATTTGCAGAACTTAACCTTTTCGACAAATAATTTACTTACTGCTTGTAGTCCATAATTTCTTTATTATAGCTAGATCCACCATATGTAGAACGGCACACATAATGACCGCAGAAAGCGCCGCGCGGGGTATAAAATAGAAGTAAGGCGTTAGCAACGCAAGGGTCAATAAAACTATTACTCCTGTAAAAAAACACATAATGAAACTGATTTTACTTTAATAATTTGGTTTCATGAATTATAAAAAAGCAGTTTAGATATAGTTTAAGCTTTAGCAAAGATATTGAAATATATAATAATAATAAATGTTCTATAACAATTTACGTTATTCTTAAGATAATAAACTGTAATCACGTTCATTTTTTGCTCCATATCGTGACTTACAATACCTTAATGCACAACCGGGCATATTTTCTTTAAAATATATTTTTTTAAATTTATGAAACGAATGTGTCTTATCACACACAATAATCGGAAATATATCCTAATGGACAAAAGTTACAGAAGACAATTTTGTTGCTGATGTCCGGTCTATTACTACTACTTAAATGTCTTTGTGCCTAAGTTAAATGATGAAACAGATTTAGTTAAACTAAGACTAAATAAGCTACGATTCCTACTAAAATATTTTAGTTACAGAAACACTACAGCCGTGTGGTGGTGGCGTAAGTGAGTCAATTATTGTATAAAGATTTTCTAATTTGGGTGCCCAAAAAGATTTCATGGCTTCCAATAGATGGCGTTATAACCATCTTGTTTACGCCAGGGTAAAATCACCAATCCTCTTGCTAAGCGTAACGATTAAGGCAAATCCTTAAAAAGGGTAAGGCCCATGACAATTCTAAATATCCTCTTCAAAATCTACAAAGTGGCACAGCTGTTGTTGGAACAATTGTCGCAAGATAATTCAAAAAAGTATTACAAATAAGTAAATTGAAAACAATGAATCCATAAATACCAGTATACAATCCCGCTGCTGGAGTTTTCACACCGGATGTGTCGCTAACGGCGCTACGTGTGAACGAACCGTTTACTGGATACGATCGAAAGAAAGCGCCTATAATATTGCAAGCTCCCAAAGCGACAATTTCTTGAGTTGCGTCCAACGTTTTGCCTCTGGCTAAAATAAATACGGGGTTGTCAATCGTGTTGTTATTTTACGAAACTTATTCGTTTTCTTGAAAAGCTCTTAAGAGTTCTTTACCGAAGATAGGGCTTCTACTATTGTGGTGAAAATCTGTAATAATCTTCATGCTTAGTTGACGTTAGAGAACAATAGGTCTCACAACTTTGATCCTGTCTTCTGTCTCCGGTCTATTTAACCATGTGGCGTAAAGGAATTGATTATACCGCCATCTATTGTAAGCTATGTGTTTGAGTTTGTTTGCATAGCTACCTCTTATTCTATTTCACCCATGAAATGAAATAGGGTGATTAATTCCCTGATGCCAACCTCATACGGCCAACTGAGATAACGCAAGTAAAAACAGGATAAAGTTTTTTTTTATATTAATTATACGATAAATAAAAATATGAACTAACAAAATGTCATGTATTTCAAAGTTTAAATTATTCATTTTTTTTAATCATGCGCTTATAATTTATTAAATTAGGACTACAATGTTTCCAGTTGTATTACTAATCAATTTCGAGTTGGTAAAAGCTATACTTAAAATATAAGTACAAATAAAACTCTGTTCTGTATAGTGACTTCTTACCTATTTCATTTCATGATACTGTTCTTCGTTGATAGTCATAACGTTACATAAAGGAAACTATACATTTTAAAAATCGGCGATTGAATACTACCAACACCAACCAAGAATACAAAACATTCCAAATTAACATCACCTAGTCACTAACTGACTAGCAGACAATAACGGTTGTCCGAATTCTTTTTCTATTTAATAAGGATTTCACAAGGATTAATATTGTATACAATACACCCAAATTTATAATGGTAATCTTTGTTCAAATAATTTAAAAACAGATTTAAATGTAACATCACTAAATATTAGTCCAAGTTTATCTCAGTTCAGTACTAACTTACTAGCCACGGCCTACCTGGTTCAGCCATTGTGGAGATCAGTATATATATATATATATAAAAAAAAAAAAAAAAAAAAAAAATATATATATAGCTGACCATTGACCATTGAGAATCGAACCCAAACCTTTTGGATAGTCAGGCCTCAGTTTAGTTGCATAAACAGAGTAACAAATTTCCCTTGAATAATTTACACTGTGACTGTAATCTCGCATACGTAATCGAGGACACGTATGAGTTCTGAATAATTAAATGCAAATAAGTCTGATGCCACCACAATACACAATTCCTTACTCACAACTGGAGTTTGACAAACCGTCAAATCATTTCATTACATTACATTCGTATCCCTCCCTACAACCCTCTTAGAAATGAAAGAAGGAATGTGCCCAGAAGTAGGACTTTACATTGATATCTGAAAAACATTCGTAGCATTTTTGAAAATTTTTGGTATAAATTCAAAATGTAGGGAGGAAATGTGTGATGGAATAAAATAAAAAAGCAGCTATATTATATGGTTGTAGAACGAATGGGTCCGCTCGATCGGGGAAGGACCACGCTCTCACAGAATACCAGCATAAAATAGCAGCTTAATACTGCTGTGTTTCGTATAGTGAGTGTAGAGAACCGGAGACCCCTTTTTACTGGTTACGAGGCATTCCGTCTTAGTACTTTAGGGGTGACAACGCTCCTGCGTTTTGATTCTCAATCGAGGATAAATGTAGATGTCTATGGGCCACAGCAACCAGTTACCATCAGGCGGACTGTGTGGTCGTTTGTCACCCTTATTCTATTTAAAAACCGTCCTCTTTTTTTCTTCCTATTCATCAGGCAGTAAAATTCCAAATGCAAAGGCAAATATCCTCCATATGAGGCAGTCTAAGGGGAGTTCTACGTTCGGCAGTGGAATAATGATAGACTGTAATTGAATGGAATATTATTAATTGTTCTAATACAATTAATAGTATAACTGTACTCGTATCACAATATAAATTAGATAAAAAAACAAAGAAATAATACTTTTATATGTATAGAATTTGAATTTAATGAATGATGGCATAAAACAGTAGAATATTAAGATCACAGGAAAAGCAGCTGATACGATATATCGATGCTTTTACTTCCCTACACACGGTCTTACTTCGAAAACTTATATTTGCGGAATATGAAAGTAATTACGAGAACTGGAGAGGGGTATATAATACTGGTAAGAAACTTTATATGGTGAGAATTTCTTGAATAAAATATAAAATTTGTTAAAGATACATTCAATGTACCTACATTTTCTACGTGGTAGAGCCACGCTGCATCTATATTATGGTTGTAGGACGAATAGGTCGGCTTAACCAGGGTATGACCACGCTCTTACAGAATACAAGCGTAAAATAGCAGCTTAATGCTGTTGTGTTTCGTGTGAATTGAGTTGAATTGAATTTCATTCCATCTCAGTCCTTGTGAGTGACAACGTATCTGCTTTAATTCTTAATCGAGGACCGCTGTAGATGTCTATGGGCCATAGTATTAATTTAGCATCAGGTGGGCAGGCTGGCTCACTTACGTTTTAATGTTTTTTTTTTATGGAATAAGGGTGACCCTTATTTTATTCAAAAAAACATAGATCTCCACAAGCACTTCCTTGAGCTCGATGTTCGGCTATTCGTTGTGTTAAGTTATAGACCGATTTCTCCATTTAGGTACATTTCATACTTTCTTATTTACCTAGCTCAAATCATAAGAATTTGACTCTACTTACTGCATTGCATACTATATTTTCAACCCCGCGAAATTAATAAAATAAAGATTTATACGAGTAACTCTTTCTTTGAAAAAAATTATAATAAGATTTAAACTTACAAAACGCCTTGACAATAGCAACATTAGATATAATTCCAACTAAGGGAACCACAATCAATCCAGATCCGAGGTGCACTAACATTTGCCCTGCAGTAACAGTAGTATTTCCAATAATACTGTGGAACGGCGGCAGTTGTGGTGTAGGTAGCCCCGGCGTTATAGTACCTGAAACATTTGATAATGGTTGTGTTCTAAAGAAATATAGTCGAGAAATATAATTTTCCATCCTCATATTAAAAGTTAAAGTTAAATTCTATATGCGCCAGAACCCATTGCTGGGCACAGGCCTCCTCTCATTTCTGAGAGGGTTTTAGGGCAAGAAAACGTACGTCGCGATGCCTCGATGCGTGTTTGCGAACTTCACATGTCTCAAAATATATTTTTTATTTCTCATATACACAGCTTTCTTCACGATTTTTTCCTTTACCTTCGAGCACGTGTTAATTCTTATAAATTTTGGTTGATTAGAAAGAGCAAGACACCACAAACATTATGCAGTATACTTCGTATTCATCAATTCTTATATAATTTACTCCATTATGGCTCTTTTTAATATATGTGAGCGAAGAAATGAGATTATCATTATTATTCTGTAAAATTCTTTTCACTGCAGCGTCACAAGGCCACTGAAAATAGGCCTCCAACATAGATCCATAAAGAAAGCTCTAGAGCCACCTGCATCCATAGAGCAGATCGGTTCTTTGAACTATATACTCAGCTTACTGATCCGCGTGGCTATGTCAGTTACTATTGTCATTCTGCGGGTATCCTTCTTACTATTTTTTTTTCCACGGACCACGTCGCATTCCAATTCCGTAAGTTATCACTGGTAAAACGCACCGGTTGTTCACTTTGGCATAAGGTTCTCTTGATCGAAATTGGGCTTAAAGAATAGGAAATTTGGTCTCAAGTGCACACAAAACTTGGGCTTTAGTGTTACCAACAACTACTGACATAGATAGGAGTATATCATGGACATTAGACATCATTTTAAATCGTAATCGTGAATAAATGGTAGATGTCTATGGGCCACAGCAACCATTTACCATCAAATAGATAGTGAATAGTTCGTCACCCTCATCCTATAAAAAGAGCCAACTAGCTTAATTAGCCTTTTAGTTAATAGTCAAGCCTTTTTACTAAACGGCGCCATTCAAACAGTGGCTTGAATGGTATTTAGCCGATGTATCTTATACAACATATACCTATCTTGTAATATCAGCGACAGTAGGTCTAATGCTTAAAGATGCTAAGAGATCGATATTTCTTCATCCTATCGGATGCCATAAATTTTATGAAATCTCATTTAGTCGACTTTTATGATACCCACGGGACGAGATGGATTTGTGCTACCTCGAAACGTTTGTATGCAATATTGAAAACGATTTCCTACTTGAAATAAGTAAAAAAATATTTATTTTCTATATCCATATCTTCCCTAAAAATGATATGAATTCAATATTTCTACAAATTATAATAGGGTTGAGTTTAAAGTATGAAGTTGCCGTTTTAATGGAGTTGTCATATTTGATTAAAATTAAACATGCGTGATTAAAAATTCGTGATTAAGCTTTTTACGTAAAAATTATTACATATTTAACAAAAAAATAATTACATTCTATTGTTCAACTTTCAATTGTTTTTATTTGTACATTCAGTATTTAATTTAAACATAAAGACAGCAAACATAAGAGTAATTTTTATACGTGCTTTGACATTCTATCACAGTTTAGACAGCTCGCAAAATCGATACGGCTCTTGGAGAGGATATAACTGACAAACGCACAGTGTATATTTAGTTTAAACGTTTTCGAAGTGTAAACCGACATGAGGAATGAGCCCCGAAGAAAACCAGATACTAAAGTAAATAACATAGAATCAAAAGTCATGATGGAAGCCGATCTATTCCGTATAACCAAGTAATTAGCATATAGGTATCCCCAGATTAAACTGTTGTGCATAGATCACGTATTGAAGCTTGCCAAGCTTCGATGAGAAGGTACTGAAATGAAGGGATTTTTGGACAAAATTGTGACTTATAATGAAAAACAGATTCTCTACGATAATATGAATACGCAATGGCTGAACGCGGATCAAAAGACGGAACAATTTCATAAAGCCAAGCTAGCTCATTTAAAACTAAAAGTAACTGTTTGGTAGTCACTTTAAAATGTATTTCACAAATTTTTTTGAGATGTAATGTATCAATAACAGCAGTTGTCTATTTTGAAGAACTTATATGTAGAGCCATTCTACAGCTATATTGTGGTTGTAGTACGTATGGGTCGGCTCAACCGGGGAAGGAACACGCTCTCATAGAACACCAGCGTAAAGCAATAATAATAATAATAGCAGCTTAACACTGCTGTCTTTCATATGGTATTCACTGTACGAAAGATAGGACAGAGCAAAGCAACAAAATAGAGAACCGGACACCCTTTTAATGCAAATGAGGAATTCCATTTTAGTCCTCATGGGTGACAATATATCCGTATTTTGATTCTTAATTGAGGATAGACGAGTCTATGAACCACAGTGTCCACTTATCATCAGATGAAGTGTGTTATCGTTTGTCACCCTAATTCTATTAAAAAAGGAAAACTTTGGACACTACTTTGATAGTGAACTCTCAGAGCAACAACCCACACTCATCAATTGTTATTAGCCATTACTGCTCCATGATAACGCGAAACTACTGTTCGAAAAACCATTTTTATATTACAAAAATTGCAGTTAGATAATTCATCCTCCTACCCGACAGATCTGGCTGCAACCACTTACAAATTTTTCCGCTATTTCGATAATTTCCTGAAGGGAATAAAATATTTTCATCAAAAATGCCTTCATAGACTTTGTAGAGTTTAGATCCCCAGTATTCTATCGCAAGGGAATAAGTAACCTTCCGTCAAGATGGTAAAAATACACAGATAATAAGGGTACTTCGATTAAGTAAATACATATTTTTTAAAGTTTTAATTTTATTTTTAGTTGTAAGTAGTAAGACGCTGCTGCCTAGGTTTGCTTCCCTCTGTCGCCTCACGACATCAACGGGATGATTTTTAATATTGGATATTCTTACACCGCCATTTTACATACGGTCGTTAGGTCAGGTATTTGACAATTGATTATTATTCTTTTAATTTTATGTCCAGTCTTTTTCACGTCGAGTTTTACGGTACTTTAACCAAAATCATCTTAGACTGTAATAAGTAGCTTAGAGGGACAGATTAAATTCCTTATAAGTGAAGCCTGCAATGGAAAGACTTTGTTACAGACCATACAAAGAAGTTAATGTTACAGTGGCTTCAACACCGAATTTTGCCGCTGATTTTTTTTTTCTTTTTATGTAATAACTTTAATGACAACTCACCGGTAAGTATCAAAGGATCGCCTTTGTCCCGGTGAAAGAGAAATGCCAATATAGATGTTATTATAATCACGACGGCATTTCTTGAGACGCTTACAAACCATAAAGCCCTTTGAATTATAATCGCACTGCGGCGGCCTTTATCATCTTGTGGTTCTTTTAGACGAACATCTTTCATAGCCTGTGGACAAAAATTGTATAAATCATTTTCTTGTGTTGAAATAAACAATTTCATTGAGTTATATTCATTGAGTTTTTTTTTGTATCATGGAGGCGTTTTTATGCATATAATACACATGTACAAATATACATGTTTTTGGCGGGATTTGAACTCGCGGCCCCGCAGAGCTACAGCCAAACGCTTGACCGCTCCGTTCATTATAATAAAATCTGCTAGTATATTTCTTAAATTCATCTGATCTCGCATTTAATGAAATTCATTGAAATAATTTTAGTTTTAGTTTGTATGATTTTTAAAACATTAAAATGACCAACGAGGTAATAGTCTCTCAGTTTTATACGAGTTAGAGCCACGCTGCATCCATATTATAGTTGTAACACGAATGGGTTGGCTTGACTGGGAAAGGACCACGCTCTCACATAATACCAGCGTAAAATGGCAGCTTAATACTGCTGTGTTTCATATGGTGAGTGTAGAAATCCGGAGACCCTTTTTACTGGTTACGATGCATTCCGTCTTAGTCCTTTAGGGGTGACAACGCTCCTGCGTGCTGATTCTTAATCGAGGATAAATATAGATGTCTATAGGCCACAGCATCGACTTACAACCAGGTGAACTGTGTGCTCGTTTGTCAACCTTACTTTATAAAAAAAAATGTCTTTATAATAAATGGCTACTGCAGCACATACACCTGAAACAAACAGCAGATCTGAAGAAGCTACAGATGCCTTAACCACAATAGAAAACTCACGGTCTGTAATTTTTTTTAAAGAATAAAGGGCGATAAACGAGCGCACAGTCCACCTGATGGTAAGTGGATGCTGTGTGACACATAAACATCTACATTTATCCCCGATTAAGAATCAAAATGCAGATGCGTTGTCACCCCTGAGGACTAAGATGAAATGCCTCGTTTCTAGTAAAAACTACCGGTTCTCTACACTCACCATAAGAAACACAGCAGCACTAAGCTGTTATTTTACGCTGGTATTCTGTGAGAGTGTGGTCCTTCACCGGTCGAGCCGACCCATTTCTGCTACAACCATAACATTACTGTAGCTGCAGCTTGGCTCTACCAAGCGTAAAATGTATTAGTGATAATTATACTGTCTCTGCCTATCCACCATATGAGTACACTGCCATAAATTGAAATGCGAATTAGCCTTATAGTTGGCTTCTTAAAATATTTTTTTAGTTTGAATTGGTTTTAATTCGCAATTTAGAGAAGTGGCTTTTTAAAATTCCATAAAGCCCTCTTCAAAATAAAAACACTTTTTTTTATATGAAATTAAACATTCCTTTAAGTAAAATATCTTTATATTCATATTACGTAAATTTTCATTTTTGTTTGTAATTACATGTCTTTTAGTTTATTTGAATAAAAAATAAAAATAAAATATTTTTTAAGTTTCTCTCGTTATCTTTTCGTTCGTTAATCACACCCAGCAGCTGACTTTTTACGAATTGAGAAGGAATCAATAAAAATAATTTAAGATAGTTAAGCGAAGTTATAAAATACCTTCATTCCTAAAAGCACAATACAACATGCCAAACCTAGTAAGGTATCTTGCATTCGAGTATCAGCTATATGATGGAATACCCCTTCCCAAGTTGATTTAAATGTTTCCGCATTGAATCTTAAGCCAAGGAGGCCCTTAATCTGGGACGATGCAATGGTTATAGCTGCCGCTGATGTAAAACCAGAAACAACAGGCAATGAAACAAATTCAATAAGAAATCCTGAAATAAGAATTATTAGAATTAATAAATATTTATATAATTCTGATACATATCATATAAATGATATGTATCAGAATGATATTTATAAATATATAATAGAATAAAGATAATATTCTAATATAAATTAGAATATTATCTTTATTCTAAATATTATATGTAGGAATATCAATTGTTAGCTAGCGTATGCGACCATAGATTTAGAAAGGAAGAATGTTATAAAACTTGAGTGTATTAATATCATAGGGTTTATCAATGAGAGTATTCAATTTCAATGTTTAATACAGCTATTGCATACACCTGTTAAAAACAGTTTATAGAATCAACGTTAACTTTGGGAAAATCAATAAAAAAGATGAGAATCAAAATTAATGCAGAAATCTGTTTTGTTTGCATATGGAATTCTCTTCAGCCCGTCTTCACACGGATAATTCCTGGAGCTTAACAACAGCGCAACAACCTTCCGGCTTCAATTGTGTATCGAAACAATTCTCGAATCAATTTCATCACACACAAAATTTCATCAAAATCGGTCCCGCCGCTTGGATGGAGTTCAGTTACATACACATGGACAGAAGAATTATATATAAAGATTGAGATCAACACACTCCTTCAAGGTGGACCAAACTGCACACAGTGTGCAAAATTTCATTGAAATCAGTTCAGTAGTTAAGAAGTTCATCATCATCATAATCATTACAGCCATTCACAAGTCCACTGCTGAACATATGCCTCCCCCAAGGAACGCCACAAAGCACGGTCCTGAGTTACCTGCATCCATCAACTTCCTGCATATCTTACCAGGTCGTCACTCCATCCAGTGGGGGGTCGCTAAACTACACTACACTTCGCCTACCGGTATGAGGCTGCCACCTGTTACTTATTGAAAGTCATTTTTTTGAATTTACCATGAAGGTCTTCCCAAAAAGACACTAATTAGCGCAAATTATTTAAATGATGATTTTTCACACTATCCCGATTACCGATTGACGGTTAAGGTACTGATGACCGATTGGAGGCGTAAATCCCTAGTAAAATTAAAAAAACTAAATTCAAATTTTGCAGACTGGAGGTATTAACGCGATGATACTGGCTAGCAGCTCTGCGCTTATTTACCCGCTTGACAACCTGTTGGAAACAGATCAGAGGTGGGTTAGAGTTCGGTCAAGGCCAAGCGATCAAGCAAATTGAGTTCCTTGACACTAAACCAGAAAATCCATCATTTGTGTTTGTGAACACTTTGTTATTGACTTCCATTGCGTTTTAAGTAACACCTAGATCATCTTAGTGAGCATATACTAGCCACTATTACTTAGTAGCACATCTAACGAACACGGAATGTGACAAACATGACATTAAGTAATTACAAATAATAAAAAAACATGGAAACAAATAAGTGTTGAATACAACATACCAAGTTGCGCAATTCCAGCCACCAAAGTGACAATGCCGCTTATAAAACATAAAAGTACTGCAAGGTCGGGATTAGTTCCGCTGGTGTATGTAAAAGTGAGGAGCGACAGCAACGCAGTAGGCCCGACGTTTATTTGAGGACAACTGCCCATTATTGCGTACACAAAAGCACCCGCAAATGATGCGTATAATCCGTACTGCAAAATAAAATTACTACTATTTTGTTAATAAGTCAACAAACGTAAAATGTTCTTGTGAAAGGGACTTAAACATAATGTATATGTTTAAGTCCTTTTCACAAAACTTCATAAAATAATAATTAGATTATTTTATTCATTTACAGAAACAAAATATTCTAATGAATAAATCGATTTATGAATTTTGAAATTCTTTAGCGTCAACAATTCAAATTAAAGAAAAATTATCTTTATGTAATCGTGGTAGCTTGCGAATTCTGTATTGTTAATATTTTGTTTACTCTACTAAAATCCTACTTAGCAGTTGACTATAAGTGAGCTGTAGAAAAAAAACGGTTTCCTGCAAGTAATGATGATTGCTTTTTTTAATATTTAAATTCTTAGAAAATGAAAAAACGCTGGCTAAATAATAAATGCACATCAGGAAACGATTATACACCAAACGCTACTTCATTAAACTAGTTTATTTTATTCTAAAAATAACATATTAACTATTAGGGTATTATCAGTTCTACATCTGCACAATGTATTATTTGTATGATAATTAAAGTACAAAAAAGAAACAAAAAACACCAATAAAATAAAAAAGACATCAAAATAGTTACAAAACAAAAAGCAGCTCTGTATTTAATTACGTTGTTTATGATTGTTTTGTTTTTGCAAATAAATATTTAAATCTAAATCTTTATATTTAGCTGTATTAAGTGATTTATATATTATTTACTTATTAAGCTGTATTAAGTTGTAGTACTCATTATCATTTACAGTTTAGAATTCTATGTTTTTAATTTATGTATGAGAAACCGTGTGGTGACGGCATATACACTATTCTCTATCGCCCCGTGAGCAATTAAAAATAAAAACAAAACCCGTGGTTTTCAACCCACCTGCTAAGCATGAAAAAACAAAATATGGGGTAGGTAGTAGGTGCACGTAGGCTACGGTTTAGCAGTGAATTTTTGATGAACAGTAACGGTAAGAGCATAATGCCATTACAACGTTACAACGTTATTTATATTTATTTCACTAAAACCGAGTTTTAAAAACGTGAAGTTGTTATAATTGACACGTATGTTTTTTAATTAATGTTCACCGATTACTCAGAAACGGCTGAACCGATAGGTCAATAACTATGATTTTTCTTTCATTAAATATGTTCCATTTTGGGTGCGGTCCCGTATAAATTTTAAGAAAAAAAAATCATTCCTAAGTGAGGAAAAATGGAGACTGAAGTTTTTAAAGTAACTATTTAGATGAAATTCTAATTGTGTACTAGAACTTTTGATATTCCACAGAAAGTAAAAATATTTTTTAAAGTGTTAAAAATTTAATTTAAAAAATATTCTTATCTTTTTCCATTTAGATTTTTTGCTGCACTGTCTCTTATATTGCGTTTATCTCAGTAAAGCTTAATTATTAATTGGAGAGAATCATGCCTTTTGGCATAATGATCACCAATTGTACTAATTTGTGCAATAAAGTGCAAATAGATTAACAAATATCGTATATTTGATCAAATGACATCGATAATTTTGTACTACTGAGCAGATGTAACGTTAGAACGTTACAACACTGACGGTAAACATGATTTAGTTACAGTTGAGTAAAACAATAGGACATTCATTATTTTAAATGAATTCTTAACAAATACTGAAACAACAATAAATAATTTATTATTAAAATAAAATGATATTCACATATTTGTAATATGATACCTTTAAAAGTATAATAATAATTTTTCTTGAATGTCGGCGGCTACATCAGGAATGGGTCTGCTTTTTCGGAGAAATATCACGCTTACGTAAAATAACAGCGAGAAATAAGAGCACAATGCTGTTGAGTTTCATACGGTGTGTGACGAGAACAAAATACCCTTATGCCTGGTGAGGAGGTGTGCTTTATGGCCCTTAGGCGCTTCTTTAGTACTCCTAAAACCTTAGCTTAGTGTCAGATCCCTAAAAAGCGCTCTTTGTTCTCAACTTTTAAGCTGCCAGCTCATGAGGTTCCCCGTGAAACCCCAGCATTTTACGCAAACACAGCTTATGTCAAGCTCGCTCAGCTAGTGATCTTTTATTTTCCTGACATAAACATGGGCGGAGACAGCAGAGTCATAGTGGGCGGACTTAGCGGTAAGCTTGGATTTGATTTTACAAAAATGCACGTTTATAATTTATAAATACACGGTAAGGTTAATAATTTAAGACATCTAAACACAAGTAATGCAGCTTTCTCTATTGTTTAGTCCGCACTACGTCTTCAAGCAAATTTTCTAATCTTTATAGATTATTTCCTCCGCTAATGAGTTATCCCGTAATATTACATAATAGTATACATGGCAGGCTATCAAATGACCTCTAATTTGACTATTTTTAATACTTTAAACAATAAATAAGCTTATTTACACATTTTTTTGTATATTTTTTCAGTCTGAGATATACAAGTTAACTTATTGCCAATTGTAATTCCAAGAAATTTGGTAGTTTGCACTTCTTGAAGGTTAACCTTACAATTTACAAAAATCTTAAGGTTTTGAATTTTGAATTTTGTTTAAAGTAACATGTAGATTAATTATTAAATTATTTATGCTAAATTATTGTACAGTTAATATCTTTCGAAGTATTATTTGTATCATTTTGATATTCAAAAATTTTACGGCTGCGGTACTGTCATCAGCAAATAGGACCATATGTTACCGAACGAATTTTTGTAAATCATTAATATAAATAAGGAAAAGTAATGACCCAAGGGCATTACCTTGATGTTCACCAAACCTATTTATATTATGATATGATAGGTGTATTTTTTTATGATTAATTCTAGAACATGAACTAGATGTCTCAACACTGTTTTGTTATCTTGATATGATGCCATTAAATTCAGAATATTAGCTTATAAACTATATGAATTTAATTTAACAACATCAAGATAACAATAACAATGACATCGAAAGAGTTACTTAAAAATTTCGTATTTTATTTTTACTCTCTAAGTGAATTACGTACAAAGTAAATATGAAAACTCGTAGATTATATTTCTAGAAATTACAATTAAAAAACCATGTGTGGTTAGAATGCATACCATTCTAGTGAAATGACGTACATGAATTTGTAGACGCTAAGTTGGAAGATAAATCATACTGTGTGAAAATCCTTGAAACAGTTTCGTTTGTCATTGTAGCACAAATAGACACATTTGATGAATTTTGAACGAGCTGACAGTATCTTGAGTTTTGCTTTTGCTTGAGTATGCTTGTGTTTGGATTTAATTTAAGTAATAATAGGATTCCAGCAGACGGCAGCACTCATACATATTTTCTATTGAATTATTTTTAATTTCAATAGCCTCGAATCATCCTGGGTATTAATCGCTGTTATTTTACGAGGATTTGTGTTCTGTCAAATCGAATGTAATGGCGGGGACGATCTTGAACATGTTCACAGACTGCAGACTTTTCAGAGCATCGGTGCTTCACATCAGCTATATGTTTCTTTACCAAGGCTTTTAAAGATATTTTTGTTTGTGTTATATAAGAGAGACCACATTCACAATCCAGTTTGTATACTCCTGTATCTTGTAGAGAGATATTACACATTGCAGATGGTAAAAATACGTTGTCGAATCGTCGAAAATTAAAAAGTCATAATAAAACGCGATGAAATCCGAAATATTAGTTTCATTTAATTTGTTTGCGTAAATATAAGAAGTCATTCTTTTTAGTTTTTAGTAATTGATCTTTTAGTTAACTATAAAAAATATGAAACTTAAGCAGTCATAGATTGCAATAAAGTAAAATTTTTATCTTCAAATTTAAACGGATTCAGCCTTGAGGTTTAAGCTATTCAATGAAAATTGAATCATTAAAATTGGTTCAAGATTGGGGAAAATAACCTGTTACATATGTACAAAAGATAACCTACAGTCGATTTAGGATCCTCTCCCTTTTTTAAAGTCAGATAATAATTTTTTTGTAACCAGACAGAATCTGATCCATCTACTATCTTGGTTCTAAAATCAGTAGTAGGAATATTTTATTATTAATAATATAATTGGTAAAAGTGTGTTTTAATATGATACATACCTGTGGTTCAAGGCCAGCCAACGAAGCGTACGCGATAGATTGTGGTATCAATGTAAGTGCTACAGTTATCCCAGCTATAAGGTCTCCGATACCCGTTCGAAAGTCGTAACTCCTGGACCATCGCACTATTGGGAACACCCGACTAGCTAGTCGCAATGGACTTAAAAAATTCAACATTTTCTCGTCTGTAAAGTTATTCATATATTACAATTTGCACAATAACAGTTGGAAAACTACATGTTTATTCATAGTGTACACGATAAAGTTTTCTCATAAATTTCTTGTAATGATTTCTTAAATTTAATGATCTCTTAAATTTACGCGAACACTACACATACACGTAGTTACTTAAATGCGATAAAATCCGTAAATTTAGTTTTATTGAACATAAATTTCTTATATAGATTAAATTAAATTTTTATTCAATAAAAACATTATTGAATAAAAATTTACGGTTTTATTTTTTTCTCCATCCTTGGATTTTGCTAAAACGTTATTCAATTTTTTTTAAAGTTTTGTTAGTAAAATTGTCATTATTAAAGGGCAAGTGGTTTACAAAAAGGAATAGAACATTTAAAAAGTAGGCAGCTCTATACGAATAGTTCGAAAGTTATAATTTTTCATAATCCATTTTACTAATATAGTCAGAAAAATTTACTTGTAAATGAAATTGGAACAATTGCTGCCTACAAATATAAAATAATGTTTGTTCAAATATTTGTAATTATTTTGTAAATGAGCTCTTGGAAACATTGCTATTGACTGAGAATTCAGATAACAGAATTTCATATTAAAATAATCCTGCTTTTATATAAAAATATTTAAAATGAATTCATTAATCATTCATATAACATTATAAATTTTTAGTTTTATAATCAAAATCGTATACTTAGTTATGTTTTATAATTTTCATAAGCAAAAAATTTAGTTTAATATAAATGTAGTTATAGGGTCAGTATATCTCTAGCAACCCAATAGTTTAATTGGCCGGTTAATTGAGCATTTTCGTATCAGTAGACTAAAATGTCGACAAGGCCTTAAAATTTTATTCAGATTAAAAGACAGAAAGAAGTAAGTAACAGTTGAATCCAATAAGATAACCGATGCAATTAGTGATTTGCAAAATATTGATATAAAATGACATGTTGAATAGTTGTTTACGATTTTATAGCTTTAACGTGGCTGAAAAATTTGAAAGTAGGCCCAGAACAACTACGAAATCAGGAAATGCCCAGTCTCTGTGACCTAGTGTGTTACGACGCATACAAAACGTCGAAAATTTAAAATTAAGAACTAACTGAACGTGATATAATCTGTAAAAGTAAAATTTATTAAATGTGTTATATTCGACTAAATATAAGAAGTTAAAAGAAATCAAAATTTTGCCTACGATTGATCCAACGAAATAAAATTTTCAATGTTCTTGGAAACGAAATTCGTGATCACTTTTGTAGACTGTAGTAAGATCCCAATCATTTTTCTAAATAATGCCAAACTTAAGCGATTAGGCTAAACTTTCTTTAGAATTTCCGCTGAATGTCGGCTTTTCGCTAAATGTCTAGCCGTCAGAATACTGACTGATATACATTCGGGATTTACCTACATTAAGAAACTAACTGAAATGATCCAGTGGTAACAAAACCACCAACAACAATTGCACAATTTGCAGGTGCTTCTTAAAAGTAAAAAGTATTTTTGATAAGAATTTTCTACCTAAAATGTTGAACACCAATATTTAAAATCTTGATGAAATAATTTTAATATTTTTGTTAAAAAGATATTCTATAATTAGGGGAAAGTATTTCGATGTAAAAATATTTATATGGTTGAAGGTTTCCGAGAAAAACTTTGATCATCGTAATCGGATTGTTCATGAGAGTATCATGAATTTGATGATACATTAAAGCTATAAATAGATCAGTTCCTATTTATAAAAAAAAAATTTAAGTTTTATTAACACAAAATTTCTTACGTTTTTTTTTACTTCGGATACTGTACAGATTATACAGATCAGATGTCACGCTGCCAATGCGTGTTGGCACATGCCCTCGATATATTTTGTTCCTTATACACGCAGGTTTCCTTTTGATGTTTTCCTTCACCGCTAAGCACGTGATTAATCTGTTCTAAAAATCTCATTAACAATTTCGTTGGTGCCAAAGGGAATCGAACTCGGGTTGTCGGCCTCTGAGCTACCACAATTCTCACTCAATATTTGATATATTAAGATTTTTGATTACAAAGTAGGGTTAGCTACCGTGAAAGATTAATTTATTATCATATCAAAGTATATCACTTAATCAATTTTGTATATGGAAAATCAGAGGCTGCCATAAAATACCGTAAGTTGTATGTTTAATTTTCTAGGAAATGATTTTGTGAAATGTAACTGAATATAAAATTAATATAATAAGAAAATTATATCAAGTTGTGCTCATTATACCGGTTCAGTTTATCAAAATAAAATTATAATTTGGAAACGATAACAATAACACAATAATTTAGTTCAGTATTTTTGTTATTTAATTTCACAATTATCACACATGCATGTCATCACTATTTGATCAACATTAATATATCATTTAAACTAACTTGCGCATAGCCTGTGCTTGCGCCTGCACAAATTTAACAATTGAGCCTGCGCATTAAGCAACGACGTGTGACGGACTGTCTTGTATCACAATTAATTATAAGTACTTGTAGTTCCTATTTAGCGTCGGACAATCAGTCGTCATGGTTAATGGATGTTTTACCTGGATGACAAAAGCATAGTTGATTTTTATTTAAAATGACGTATGTTATATAAATCAAGGATATGTAAGAAAAGTTTTATTTTTATTCGCCCTTTTTTATTGAAACAACTATTTATCTTCTTTTTCAAACAAATTGTTAATAAATACAGGATTATAATGAAAATCCGTGACCATGTAAGCGGCGGGTAAGAATAGCCACTACATCATATCATCCCGTAGATGTCGTAAGAGGCGACAGAGGGATACAAATCAGGAGATGGGCAGCAGCATCTTCCCAATAATGAATAAAAACAAAAATCTGCGGTTGCCAATCCGCTTTCCATACTTGGCAACTATGGCAAACATCCCCCCTACGAGGCAATTTATGGGGGAGGCCTTTGTTCAGCAGTGGACTGCAATAGGCTGTAACGGTAACGTTAATAATAGAAATCAAAAATAAAAGACGGAAATCATCGACACAATGAAAAATCCTTTAAAATGTTTTACGTTCTCAATCCATACCTTTGTTCTGTTAGTTCAATAATTATGTTCTTAATTTCTTTGAAGATATTCCATAACAGTCCTTAAATCTTAGGAAGTCTATTTAATTTAGCTATGTTTGTTTTTAATTTCCTTAAACTTCATGACACCGCACCGCATACACTAGATGTGATCGACGTTAAAGAAAACATCGTGAGAAAACCTGCATGTCTGAGAAATAAAATACATCGGGATATGTGAACTTTGCCAAGCTGCAATAGAGCAACCTGGCGAAGTATTGGTTCGTATTAAGTTCATAACTCTCAAGAAATGAGATACATGTGCACAATAGTGGGACATATAAGTTATAACTTTAATTTTCTTATTTAACGCCGTTTACCCAATTTACTAAACGATAAAAAAGCAAGGAAATAGTTAAAGTAAAGGACAAAGTAAAAAAAAACTCTATTCTTACTAATTAAAATGAAAGTGTCAACGTAAAAGAATTCACTATCCATGCCATTCCGTGGGGGTCCTAATAGGCGGGAATGAAACGCGAAACTCTTTTCTTTCAATTTTAATGTATTTTATTTTGCAATCTGTACGCTCATAACCAATTTATAATTTGAATATTGTAATGTTTGCTTAAGTGAAATGTATGTTTCTTTTTTCGGAGAATAAATAACTTTAACCAAAAATATAATAGAAGAAAAAAAATAGGCAGAGGTATCTTGTTGATAATAACTTAAAATAACAAAAACTGCGGAAGCCAAACAAACCAAGCATGGTAACTATGGAAAATGTGAGGCAATTTAAGGGGAGGCCTGTGAACGTAATAATATCACAAATTGCTCAAGAATGATCTATAAAATATTAATAAGTTTTTTTTTAATAGAACAAGGGTAACCGATGAGCACACAATCTACCTGATGGAAAGTGAATGAAGTGGTCCATAAACGGAAAGTTTAACACCTCGATTAATAACCAAAAATCTATATGCGTTGTCACACCTTAGGTAGAGTACCTTGCTACCAGTTAAAACCTCCTACCTAATTATGCCACCCAAAATAGCAGTGCTTGCACTGTTGTGTCCCATTCTAATGCCTATGGAGAGAGAGAGAGCATGAATAGAGAGCCAGTGTAATTACAGGCTCTGAGGCATTCCATCTTAGTTTTTTAAAAGTGACAACGCATCTGTTGCATTTTTTAAACTTCATTCCTTAGGGAGATTAAAATACATAAAGCAAACAAGACAAATGTGGAAAGCTTCCAGCCGAATGCCAGTCTTGATCAATGCTAGTCTGAAAGAGAAGCTATGGTTGAGCCTGCCAAGCATTGTTAATTGATGTCAATCTTTACCCCCGCCCGTTGCGGAGATATAGTTGAAAGCCGTGGAGGTAGGCGCGCCATGTGTTCTGGTGCGCCTTACCTGATAAGAAGAAGGGAGGAGTAGTCCTCTCTCGAGGACACACCGCCATAGGGCGGCCGGCGCTGGTGGACCGCGGATATGTGCGAAAACGTTTCCGTGGCCCTGCCAATATGAGACGAAGGTGGAACACTAAGGGGTTTTATTCAGTGCGACTCCGACATAACCTATCCTTGCCCCCACGAGACGGGTATGCGTTGGCATTTCCCCAGGTAAAAAGGGTGCTTCGTTAAGTTCAGGCCCAGAGCACAGCAGCAAGGAAACTAGGAGTCCTTGCAATGGTAAAGTCAGCAAGGAGTACGGCTATCACACATGGGTCGTCGATGCAAAGTGTACATAGTGACGTCGGACTCAGTGGCAAGGCCTGCTTAGGCTTTTTGGTGATCTTGATTTGGTTAAAATCAATCGTGTCAGTCTAGAGCACAGACACAAAATAGACAGCTGCAGTCTCCCGAAATTTTATTGAATCTTGAGATAAATGGAACATGTGCAGTAACATGTTATAAAAACTATCCCAGGAAGCAGAGTAAAAAGAAAAATAATAACATCGATCAATAAATATTATCATCGGTAAATAAAATTTTAATAAGAATACTCATTAAAACAATATTAAATAGTGTCAAACAAGGGCAAAGGAGACGGGAGCGAATCGGTCCCAATTGGAAAAATCTGCACATCCAAGATCAATGGATCTACCGTTTTTTTAACTCATTTTAGCTGTGTTAATTAATTAAAAAACTCATATCAGTCAGTGACCGTATTTACTTGTAATCGTATTGAAGCGTAACCGTGTTGACTGATACATCTAATTTCTTTTTTTAATTAGGAATGAATTAACTTTTAATAAACCTTAATAGGCTGGTCAAAAAAGACATTCAAGGTTACAATACCCCGAATAGAGCTGAAAATTGTTACGGATGTTGGAAACACCATTATAAAAGAAATGTGAAAAGTTCCCATCGATCTCATCTCGTCTGCAAAAAAATTATGTAAGGTCAAATTTCGCGATAATTTCCAGTAAAAAGGGTCTCCGGTTCTCTACACTCACCATACGAAATACAGCAGCATTAAGCTACTATTTGACGTTGGTATTCTGTGAGAGCGTGGTCCTCCCCGGTCGAGCCGACCCATTCGTGCTACAACTATACTTCTATTATAACTGCAGCATGGCTCTACTACGTATAAAAGCTTAATGGCAGAGTGCGGATTGCGCATTCAAATGGTCGTGGGTTCGAATCCACCATCCAACCACTGTCGTGAACCACTAAGCTAGTAGTAAAATATTGTATTATTAAGACTTGGTTCTGACGTGAAAAACCATCACACCTTTGCCGGTACGCCTATCTAACAATGATATTCTATAACCTATGGGCTGATCGGGATACCTTGGTACGGATAATTTATCTTTGCGTGATATTTTTATTTGAACTTTGAAATAATAACAAATTATAAAAATCTCTGCGTTAATAAATTACACAAAAAGGATGCTTTTTGCATTTTTCAGGTAAACAGAAATTTTTACCATAAAAATAGCTGAAACAAAAATTATAGATCATACAATTATTCATAAAAATTGTTCTAATCCTTCCCTAAGAATCACCATTTCTGAGATATAGCGATTCAACAAGTTTAAAAACGTTGTGTTCTTCATAATATGCTTACGTTTCCACGTTACCTGTGTGAGGTAATGTTAGCTATTTTCTATGGCTATGTATGTGAGCTACTTGACGCGTTTTTTAACGTGGTTACAGCCCATATACGTCCCATAATAGCTCTCACTTCTGAGAGGGTTTAGGACAAGGAAGTGTCCGCCGCGGTGCCGTGTCGTGTTTGCAAATTTTACATGTCTTCGATATTTTTGTTATAGAAATAACAAATAATATCGAAGGTTTGTTGGTGCCATTAACATTCGTACCAATTTTTAGCTCAATGCGCTCTTATCCCTATTTTTTTGAGCTAACTTGACCGAACTATAAATATACCACGTAATAAGATACATAAATATCATTGAAGTAGTATATAAATACTCACTAGAAGAGACGCCCAAACTAGGTTGATTGCAACATGCGATAAGGCCCACGGACACAAACTTATTCAGTCTGCGCCATAAAACGGTACCGTGTACGTCCGACAACGCGCCCTGCAATTCCGCACAGATATTGTTCGCGGTGTATGTTCCAGTACGTAGTATATATTAGTTTAATGATGAACATGTAAAAATTATGAAAATAATGAAAGTAACTAATCTAAGTAAATCAGTAAAAGGTTTAATCGAGCCCTACGTTCGAAGTTTCGTATGCTCCATACATTAGTTTTCATCAATATCTGAAAGCAAACATGGCTACGCAAAACCGATCAATTGTTGGTAGGACTCGCGCCCAGAGGGTTCTGTATAAACTTAATTATGCATGTAAACATTTCGTCCATCCCGGAAATTATAGGTAAGGCAATCACCGAAAATTTATTTAACGAAATACTTTTTCGTTAGAATAATGATGAAATTAAAGTTGGATTAAAGGACAAACTTAACTTTGCTTTTAAAAAAATGTTCTCTAAAAAGTTGTTTTAATTTACGGTCGATGCACCAAATGCAATAATAAGTTTGTAATCATTTGGGAACACAAATAGGGAAATAACATAGCAGAATTACTAGTGCGTTACCGACCTTTTAAAAAGAATGGACTTTTCGTGAGCCTTACCGGTGTGGAAAAATTGGACCGCCAATCGTCAGATGGTATAAATGATATCACGAATTTTGCCATTAAGTGCAATGATAAAATTTGGCGACTGAAATTAGTCCGAACAATTCCTCTGAGCAACTCTCGTTGTACACGCGTTAGAATATGCAAAAAATGGTAAATATTGATATGTTTATAACTTAACTAGATAATTTAAGCATTATTCCGTTTATTATTAAAATTTATATTAAATTTAAAATATTAAAATTTTAATAATTGAAGCC